TTAACGACTAAATAGACAACCAATTACTTCTTTAATAATAATTACAACAATTTTGATTATGATAAAAATTGAATTGAGCATTTAAATTAAAAGGCTGAGACCACGTTGCAATTAAATGTTGCATACTTTTTTATTCTGTGTAACATGATGTGTTGCATGTGTCCTGAATGTGCAATTGTCAGTATTACTCTGTATTATTCATAGTCTCTACAGTATATATATATATATTCATCATTATAGCATGCAACACAAAATTTTTGATAATGGATCAGTAAAACAATAATTATGCTACTATCCTACACAGCTCATCAGATTCCTAACAATGAGAGAATTAGAATTATTAAAGATCTACATGATCTGGTTTTTAGGTCAGTATATAGCCCGGTATCGACATTATAATGGAACATTCATTCGTTTAATCAATAGAGTACCTTTCTCTCTTCTGATACCTCAGATTCTCTCATCTGATGGAAACAGTCTCAAAAAGAAGAATGAGCTGAGCCCTGGATCCACATGATCTAGCTGAGCGCGGGCAGAGGCACAATTAGCACATCCGCATATGCACATGCCAGATGCATAGATAATAGAGTAAATGAAAGGGATTGGAAACTACCGTTCCCGCCCGGTGATGCGGTTTTCGTCACCCTTGGTTACCTGGTTGGCAACGTCCGTGTTTATCTGCATTCCCCATCTCCTCCACAGTAGTTGTTGTGCAGAAAGGATTTCGAAGGAATATTGTGCGACTATTAGATACCGCTTGCTTATGATATGTCTTCTGTTCCACGTAGAAAGTTTATGGCTACCTATAGCAGGGTTTTTGTTTCTATAGAGCTATTTTTCGACTAGTTATGGGTACACAAAGTCGACATCTTTTTTGACACCTTTTCGCTTCTACAGCTTTCATGCTTTTGCTATTCTAGCAGTACCTCATATCATTCCATAGGTAATTGAAAGTTCTTTTATATTCTGACAAGCTTTTTAGAGTTTGGCTACAATTGTCTTCATTAGAGGGAGAAAACAGCAATTTTTTATGGGCAAAAGCGCTATAACACTCAAAATATTAATCTAAATATACCAAATAAATAATAATTAACAGTGCAAAACATTGAACTCCTTGATAGTTGAGTTTCTTTTTCATCAGAGCACTCTTCTTGGAGTTATTCTAATTTTAATGGAAAAAATCAAGAATTTTGTGGTCAAAAGGTAACAAACCGCCTAGTCAGCAATTTTTTTGCTTAGCAACAATACAATCAAATGGGATTATTGCTACGCCCACGCGGAAGTTTCCAATCCCTTTCATTTACTCTATTATCTATGCATGCACATGCCAGATCAGGCCACGCCTCTAGTCCTCTACTTGTCTACACACATCTACTCTTGCCATGTATCTATGATGTAGACAGCTCATCATTGCAGCTATGATTGCAAATGGAAATGAATAATCTATCTACACCACACTACTCACATCTAGATCTCTGTTGTTGTTAGGTCTAAGAAGAAAACTGGCCAAGCCAAAGTCAAGGTACATGATGTTGCAGGGTTGCTACAAAGCTATACTGGTGACAATTACCCTAAAAGTGATAAGAACAAATCGCCTAACAACAGAATCGTTAGTTAAAACTACTGGTCCATAGAACAATAGCTGGGACAAATCATCCTTATTTGGTACTAACATTCAACTCCAAGAAACGATACTAGCATGATGAAAGTGATACTCTTTAAAGTGATGTACTGGGTATGCTGATGAAGAACAAGTCTTACATTTATTGATTACAATAAAGTAGATATGAATATGACATTATTCTATTTGTTACAAATGAACAATTGATAGAAATCAGTAAATGTATATAGCTTTAGTTCGTCATTGTCAATTATGAAGACCTGATGATGGACAATTACCTTACTGATTTCAACATTGTTGATGATTATTCAGGTGGAATTATAGTCATTGGGCTGTATAAAGTTTATGTGAAGAATTGATCATACATAAATACTTCTGCAAGTGTTCAGTGAGTTGATGGAAGCCTAAAAGAGAAATTTACCAGCATTTAACAATCATGCAATTTGCAAATTTCAAAGAAAATAATTTTGGTCTAAAATTGCTACTTCACTGCACAGCTTTTTACGCCCCTCTCTCACCATAGCAAAAGTTTAAATGTGCATGCTCTTTATTCCTTTATTATTAATAATAAATTAATATGTCATAGATTATTAGTATGCATGTACATGCATTATTGAATTGTAAAGATTGATTTAAAATTGTGGCATTAAATTTATTAAAAATTCTTTCGTTATAAAAAAATATGCCATTGTGAGCCATATCTTGCTGAGCACTAGAGCATAAGTTGTTCACATGAGCTATGAACATAATAGCATGAGAGCTAGCCAAGAGTAAATACTTTGTTTGGTCATTACTAAAACAATATTCTCAGATATGTATGCCCAATTTTAAAAGTATGATCCTACCACTAACATCAACAATACATACGCAATCATTCTATCATTTATAATAATGATAACAACAACAAAGCCTTTCGACTACCATTAAATGATATTCACAAAAACAGTTAGCAAAATACGAGTAAACATGTTTATGACTCTTCAAAGCACAGTTGAGCTGATGCAAGCAGTTTGTCAATATTTATTACTATTATTATCATTATTCATTATTGCAATAATAATTGTCAATAACATAATTATAAATTATGCATAAATTATAATGATGTGGGTGTAAACAAGGTGGGACAGGCATAGATGCCATTATGGTGTACACATATAGTCTCTCAACAGTGCAAAAAATATGATAATTTGTCAATAGACCAGTTGGTGCTAAGTAGAATTTTAAGTATATTCATCGTGATACCATAAATAAAGTAAAATTTTCCTACCACCATTTTGGAGTCATAGTTTACTAAGAGTTGAATGGGAGAAAGCAATATCTTTGCTTCTATACCTCCTAGTGGCACTTATTAAAGTCCATAAGCCAACTATAGACACTGGATGATGGTCAGTAAGCAGTAGCAAGATTGCTATTGCAAATAAATACAGCAGTTTTTGGAATAAGCTCTTATCACGATCGCTCCATAAACAACTATTGAAACTAGGACTCCAAAATGGTGGCAGGAAAATGTTACTTTATTTACAACATCACAAAGAATATACTTAAAATTTTATGAATATACTTAGCGCCAACTGGTCTATACCTAATTACTTGTCAGTGACATAGATTACTGCTATCAATCTTAAGATCAAAAATTATGACATCACAATACTCAAAAAATCACTATCACATTACATAAATAAATTATACATGTAAATCAGGCTCACCTATTATTTTGATTCTCGTCATGTAACCACACAGTTGCCTATGATGCAGTTGACAATCTTTTATACCCATACAACAACTGATCTCATTATAATAGTTTAGTTCCTATAAATATTGTGACAATGAATAAGCTTTATTAGACAAAAAATTATCAAGTAATACTCAAAACACATTACGCTTTTGCAAATTAGACATTTTATACCAAACAGTAAACAGCTTGTTTATCAGTTACACATCATAGTATTCATGATAGCTGATCAATGAATAATACATTTTTCCAGAGAAAAAGTATGGAGATACATGTAAGTAAAAAATCAAGTCAAGAAGTGGATAGCAAAAAGAAAGACACAGACATGGAACATAAAAATGTTCTAAGGCTCTAATGCTCAAAATGTTCCAGTGGTCATTGAGCACAAAAGTGGGGATAGTGCAACTAATATTGTGAGTTTGTTTACAACTACAAGCAGCCCAAAACAACATGAAAGGGATTCCCTTCGACATTCAGCAACTTCTTGTACTATTACAGAATCACAAGGAGCTAGTAGGAGCTAGTGATGTGACTGATGGACTCAATCTCAGTGAGGATGTCATGAGTAGCAACAGTCAACTCATAGATCAACCTCAAGACATGAAGTATGCTATAATCATTAAAATTAATAATAATGATTATTTTTTAAATTTACAGTCTTTTGGACAATACTGCTTTCAATGGATATTTGACTAAAGCAATTGCAAGTACTCAACATTTGAATTTACTCAATTATATGATTGGGCTTATTCGAAGCTGTCTAACTTTATGATAATACTTAGTTTGCTAATTACATGTACTCTAATCAAAAATAACAATTTTGATCAATAAATGATATATATTTATACACGTTACTAAAAACTGACAAACGTTTTAATGAACTATGCCTCCGGCATATTGCAGAACAGTAAAGTAGAACAAGATTATTAATACTGCAATTAATGCAACACAAACTGACCTGCATGGCAGTCAAATATTTTAAAGATTATTGCTGAGCTCACTATTTTCAACTCATATCACAAATATTTTATGGTTACACAAACAAGAAAAATGCCTCACTTTTAAACATTCCCTTAGTTTATTGATGGATAATCACTTTCATCAAAAAAGATACTCAAAACATACTACTAACTATGAAAAATAATTGAGTAAAACCCTTACCAAGAGTACATGATATTTACATATTATGTACTCTTGCAATGGCGTAGGAAGCGGGGGGGGGGGGG